TTCTAGAATTTGCGTTTCTGTGCGCAATAATAAAGATTTTATTGTATTGCTGTTAAAAATATACTTTGGTAAACTATGAGACATACATAATCAGTAGCACCATCTTTTTATTTCTACAGGTCATGTGCTTTTGTGCTTTCAGAATATATATGGTTTCAGGGGGGTGGTCTTTACCTAATTTTCAAAGCTGTTCGTGAAAAATAGCAAAAAACTAAAAAATAGCAAAAATTATCAAGTCTGAGGCTGGGCTCAGCAGTGAAACGGTTAAAGGCAATGTGAATGGGCAAAAGTATAGGTGCAGCAAAGGCTGCCTTAAAAGTGAAAGTTTTAGGATACTCTTACTGAAAGTGCTTACTAACTGATAAAACAAAGTGAAGCTGGCCATACACCTATAGATTATCTGCAGATTTTCTATGGTCAGAGGGAAAAAGTGCAACACATACCTGATTGTCAAAATACCTGACAATCTGATTGGATGCAGACATTTCTCAGGTATTTTGAGAGCCAGCGGGGCCGACTAGCAAGATACTGAAGCTTGGCCCAATGGGAGATTCCTCCATCCACACAGTTTAGCCTAGATAAAGGAATCTGTTGCACTTTTTCCATCTGACCATAGAAAATCTGCAGATAATCTATAGGTGCATGGCCAGCTTAATAGAGCTTAAAGAAACTCTCCTCCTTCCTTAATTTATTGAAAAAGGGCCTATATAATTGCTAAATGAGCAACTTTGTTTTTTTAATTTCCATTAAAACAAGCTTTCTGCTTCAAGTTGCAGCCTCTATAATTATGTAAAACTGCCAAGAAATGTAAATGTTGCACACAGTGTGTAGGGCAGCATTTCTCGGTTTTGTTTCAGTCACAGCACCCTTCAAAAGTATGTAAAATCTTGGAGCACCCCAGTCTAAAATGTAATAACCATAAATGGTAAAATCACTATGTGGTCCCTTCAAAATCCATACCAGACCTGTTACCAGATAGGGCTCTAGTATGGATTTTAAAGGGGAACCTCATTCAAAAACACAAAAAAGCGGGGTTCCCCTTTACATTAAGTACTCCCTTCACATCAGAGTCCTCCATTTGACATAACAGCCCCCCTTCACATTAGGAGACCTCTTCACATCAGAGGCATGATGCTGTGTGAAAATTCTGAGGCAGCCAAGAGGCACCCCAGGGTGCCATAGCACCCTGGTTAAGAAAGGCTGGTGTAAGGTATGCTCTAGAGCTGCAGCTAACAATTATTTTCAAAATCGATTAGTTAGCCGATTATTAAGATCGGTTAATCGGATGAAAAATAAAATACATTTTAAAAAATGGCTCCAGTGATGGGACTACTGGTTTGTATTGAGATTGCAGTCCATCACAGGAGCAAGCTTGGAGCGGTGGAAGTAAAAGAGAAAAAAAAAAGTGTGGTGTGCAATATAGTGAAATGAAAAGTGTACAATTATACAGCAATGAATGCAGAATGGCACCGGCTATAGAGGACTACAAAACCCAGCAATAGTACATTATACAGCGCAATGCAGAATACCACCAGCTATAGAGGAATACAACAAATCCCAGCAATAGTACATTATAGCTAGTGGTATTCTGCATTGCACTGTATAATGTACTATTGCTGGGTCTTGTAGTCCTCTAAAGCTGGTGTAATTCCGCATTGCGCTCTATAATGTACTATTGTTGGGTTTTGTAGTCCTCTATACAACGCAATGCAGAATACCACCAGCTATATAGGAATACAACAAATCCCAGCAATACATTATGCAATACATACAGTGCACAATGTATTGCTGGGATTTGTAGTCCTCTATAGCTGATGGTACATTGGTCTGTATAATATACAGCACAATGTACCATCAACTATAGAGGAATACAAATCCCACTATCCCAGCCATACATTATAGAGCACCTTGTCTTCCAGCAACTTGTTTCTGAGATGAGGCCTGTCTATCGGCAGCTGTCCTCCTCCCACACCTGCTCCTCCTTACTTCTTCTCCCCGCGTCCCTGTGCCGATCGTGGATTTGGGCGGGCAGTGAGCGTGAGGCAGGGAGGAGGTGTGGCGTGTGGAGCGTGGATGCGGGCGGGTCTGAGGTGGGGAGGAGGTGTGGCGCGCAGCGTGTGTGGAGCCGTGAACAGGGGCAACCAATCGGAAGCCGATTAATCGATGATTGAAAAAGTTGACAACTTTTTCAATAATCGATTATAATCGATTATGTCAATTAGTTGTTGCAGCCCTAGTATGCCCCCAGAAATCAAATTTCCTGTTTGAATGATTGGCTCATTGTGTTCCCTAGAAGTATGCAGAGAGCTGGAAGTCAAATTAGAAGCATCCAATGGGATACTTTCTAAGACCCTGCATTGGGGATGCAAATACTGCTAATTTTCTTATTATATCACTAAATCTGTTCATAATGAAGGTTGGTATCCCTTTTGCTAGTCAATAGGTAAGAAGTTCAAAGGCCATATCTTTTTTTAATTGTGTAGTTACTTTGGAGTGGAATATAACAATACAACCCATATATTAATGCAATGCTTCTTTAATAACAACTGTCCGTATCTTTCTGCAGCAACCAATCACATCCAGACTTTAATCTTTCAGCTGTTATTTTCCACTGCAGGTTTGGAAATTATGGTTGCCTGCATACAGTTATAGGAAAAGATCATTTACTACATACAGTAGTAAATATTATATAGAGTTTCACACATTCAGCTTCACATAATTCATGGTGAACTGGTATACAAATGTTCATTGTTCGCTCAGAGTTTGGTTTATGACCCTGGTTCATCTCTGTTGCATGTTAAAATGTCGCATTTGTGTATGGCATGTATGATGTTACTTATCAGTTTCTTGCATTTCATGTGACGTACAGCCAGGCTTTACTTATTGTCTTTTTCCTTTCCTTTCCCTTCATCTCCATGAAATCTATTAACATTGTTTAACTAACCTTCATCCTATACTGCTAAATGCCAACCGTGATGTAGGAAATGTTAATATTATTAAAATATACATAGAATAATAATTCAGTTTAGGATTAACAATATGCCTAAACAATACTGTCTGTACCAGCGAGTAGGGAGACTGGGAGGATATCAAAGTCTGCATTTCTCGATCCATCTTCTGAAATGTTTTATAATATAGTTTTACTCTGAGTCTATGAATCCTGTGTTATAAATGTGCTTTTATCATGGCATGCACTGCAAATTGTAAAGCGCCTAGGGATATACTGGTGGTAATTAAATTGCATGAAAACCCTAACAATGGACATCATTTACGTGCTCCCTTATGGTCTGTTTAAAATACCATTGGGAGCATTTCGTTATGTGTTTAATAAGTGCAAAAAATGCCTGTTGATCATGTCAGAAATGCAGAGCTGTCCTGTGTCTTGTGCACAGTTCCTGTGTGATCTCAAAGAGCCACCCTAGTTTTATATTGAACTATAGAATGATTAGCCTTTATGTTATAGGAATGTGGAAGTGGCAGTGATTGATTCGTTTAGCAAAAGACCGTGGACAGGACTGACACAACAAAAAATCTGTGTCTTGTCAAACCAAAAGAAGGCTTAAAGTAAAGTTGCCCACACACTGTAATATTTTCTTCATTCAACCTACGAACTGAACAAAGAAAATATTACAGATTCCTCCTTCGGCACTTAGGAGCGTAGATCAAGGAATCCCCCACTGTTTGCATTGTATTCTGGCGGTGGCTGCCGGCCGCTGTCAGCATACCCGAACAGAGTCGGCAGCCTTTTGGCAAAAAGGCTGTCAGCTCTGTTTGTTCAAAGATTTTCTGACCGGCTTCTTTGATCAGCTGATCGAAGGATGCTGACTGAAAGGGTGCTGACCCACTGTGCGAATTTCAGCCAGTTCCTTCCTTTTTACTTCCTGCTCTTTGCTGCAAGCAGTGCATGTACACTGAGGTCACAAGCACTGCATCACACAAATTACAAATCCCATAAGTGTTTACATCAATTTAACTGCACATGGGTTGGACATTTTGTAGTCCTTTTCAGGAGTGAGCAGCCGAGGTTGGTTACGGTCTCACACATACAGTCGGTCCAAGTAGAAAGTTGAAGATGTGCCGGTTTAATTTTTTAAAAATATGATTTGCTGTAGGAAGCTGCAATTATAAGGACACAGATTGGCAAAAGCATAGGCATAGAATCAAATTTAAGTTCCTAATTTTAGACCAACAAGTATTTTTTTCTGAATTTACAGGGTCCTTAAAGGAGAACTATGAGGTGAGTGCTTTACACTCACCTCATAGTTCTAGCCGACCTGTGACAATGAGACTGTCACAGGTCGGCTGAGTAGATCGGGAAGTGAGCGAACACATACCGGCGTTCGCTCACTTCTCGATCCTGTCACGGCCCGGTATACTGTCGCGGTATACTGAGCTTAGGTGACGGGAGGACGCTAGTTTGTGTCCTCCCGTTACCCTAAGGAAAACTATGGGGAAAAGCCCTAACCCCATAGTTCTCCTTTAAAGGGATAGAACACGGGGTTCACGGCCTATGCCTTCTTTTTTTTGGCTTGACATAAACTTTAAATAAAGAGAAACATCAGTAAAAACACTGGCACATGCAATAAAAACGCAGCACAGGTATGAATAAAGGTTCTAGTGCAGATATCCCTTTGGCTTCCTGAAGATCAACATAAATATGTGACAATTTTTTAAAAAAATCCTATGGTGATACTTGTGCCAGTTTAGAGTTGGCTCCAGACATTGTCCAAAGGAGGGAGACATGGTGTCTTTATGGCACCACTTACTAGGGAAGAAATAATACTTGCTAAGACAAATATAACACAAAACCCTATATTGCACACATGATTCAGTTTGATAAAGGCATTGGCCTCTATTGTCTCCCCATGATACCCACTCTGACAGTTTAAAAGTTGTCCTATCCAGTTATGGATCCAGGATAAACCACAAGAATTCACATTCATAGCAGGCAATAAAAGGGACATTTGGCACGTGTTTGTGATACTTGTGGCATGGTACTTATTGTGAATAGCTCTCCTGTATGAATGCTGGTATATCAGAGCTACATGGAAGCCCATACAACAGGTTGTGCTAGGGTTGCCACCTGTCCAGGATTCACCCGGACAGTTCGGGTTTTGAATGCTGTGTCCGGGTTTCATGGCAGCAGAAACCCGGACACAAGATGTCAGGCAGATATGGGCAACCAAAATTAAGATAGGGGCTACTGGCCCCCCACTGAAAACAGTCTCAACTGTGATATTTACATATGAATGGGTGGCGCTATTTACTTATGAATAAGCCGCGACTTATTCTCCCCGAAAAATGTTTGCGCGTCGCTAGAGTGTTCGGGTTTCGCTTGAAGAAAAGGTGGCGACCCTAGGTTGTGCATACACTTCTGCAAAAGGTGAATCAAATGAGACATTTTTACTCAACAATAACTCACCTCAGGAACACATCATTATTTTTTTTTCTATCAAAACAGAAAAAGGAGCATTACAAAAACAAATCCCCATTAAATCCTTACAGCTTTGCAGCAACTTTTAATTCCTTTTGTGGCTGCAGATAAGAAGAAGCCAGACAGCTCTGTTTTACCTCCCTGCTGCCTGCATATGTTATTTAAACTAGGAAGTCAATTCATAAGGCATACAAAATATGGCATCTGCTATTGCTGATTGTTCTAAAGAGGAACTGAACTCTGGAAGGTGTGCCCAATATAGACAAGCGAAAGGCAATGGAATAGTCACCAGTTACCCAGCAGCTGATCTTTCCTCCTTACTGACTTACCATGCCTTGTTCTGGACTGTTTCTCTGTATTCAGATGACCATCGTGGTAGAGACAGGGCTTTGCTTCCTCATGTCAGAGCTGCTTCCACCATGATGACTGGTCATCTGGTGATTGGTGGGGTAATATTCAAGAACCAATAAAAAAGTAGGATGAAGGATAGATCATCAGAATCAATGTAGCAAATGTAGGGAGACATCACCAAATCACACTTGAGATATGTTGACAGATCAAAGACAGTAGTGATTTAGATGATCTTCTAGCTGCAAATATACAGCTATGAGGATGTAGGCAATGGAGTACCAACGCACACTCACATACCAGGTAGTCCACTGCTGTTTTTCCAGGAGGAATGCTACCCAAAAGGCATATTTTTCAGGGTACTGCGTAGGCACAATTAACCTTTCTGTTCCCTAAAGCAAATCTTAACTTTTTTTTCTAGCTCTGAGGCTGTTAGGTTTATTTTTGTTTCACTTGTTAGTGAACAATTGCCCTGGAACAAGCATGTTGTCAGAGAAGTGTAGAGGCTTGTCTTAAAGCCCAAATGAACCTTAACAATTTATTACTATAATGCAACCTGCCCTCCTTACCATTTTGTCTTGATTTGTATTGTGTTCTCCTTATATTGTAAAGTGCTGCACAAACTGTTGGCGTTGTATAAATCCTGTATAATAATAATAACCCAGCTGCACATACAGTAAAAAGTCTGATCATCTTTGACTCTTTAACTGGGTAAGTGCTGCAGCAATCTGGACAGTCAGACCACAGCTGTCCCACACAGCGCAAAGACCTTGGTCTCCCACCATCCAAAATGCCCTCCAAACAGTGCACAAACCAACAGCTCTCTCGCTACCTGTGCAGTAGTGTTGATTAGTGCATTGTTCAAGGCTGACCATGGGTGAGCCGGATCACTATTTTGTGTAAGAGAGCCATGGTCTGACTTTCCAGATTGCTCCAGCACTTACCAGTTAAAAAGTCGAAGAAGATCAAATGTATTACTGTATATGCAGCCTGACTACATTATGATATATCGTGAAGGATCCATTGGGCTTTAAGGTGGGACATGACTGAACTACCGCTGTGTAAGGGTTCCTTGAGAGAGCTGGACCCACACCTCTGCAGGGATCTCTGTATAGTTATGCCACTAAACCATGGCGGGTGGGTAGTCAAGTATGTGCTGCCAAGTAGCTGTGGGCCCTGGGTGCCCCCACAAGCCACCCTTATTATAATCTTGCCACTGCTTTCCCCTATCCATTTGGAGGATCCCATTTGATTATACAATATGAATAGACATGTTTCACTGTCATATAAAGAGTCATGCTTTTAAGATGCCAACATAGAAGTTCAGTACAACGTTTAAGGTATTCATTGTTAATATTTTCTTTTCTAGAAAGAAAATTGTACTCGCATTTCATTTTCAACATAAAAAAGCTTTATTTAATACAGTTATTAACAATCACTTTAATGTTAATCCTGGGAGACCGCACACAGCTCAGTTAGAAAAATATGTTGAGTAATTCATCTTTTGGCAGAAGAAAATAAAGACTGCTTTTTTGGCAGCGAAAACTGTTAAGAACCTTTCTGAGTTTGAACTATGTATTCCTCCCCATGTATTGTAAATAACTGCCTTGGAGCTGTATATTAGAATTGTACAACATGAAGTGGGTTAGCTTGGCCATTTCCAGCACACTGTGATTATTTTTTGTATCTTATAACTTGTGTATCCTATATCTTTATATGTTAAATGTTTTCTCTTAATTTGCTCCTGGACAGTAATGTTTGATCTTTTACTTTATTAAAGTGATGTGCGCCATGTTGACTGGGTAAAATCTTACCTGAATATTTGGAATCAGCTGCAAGCATACATTAAGGAATATCATACAACAGGGATTTCATGGGGCCATGCAGTAAGTACATACACTATTCATTCGTAAACTTCACACAATGGGGGGAATTTACCAAATCTGGATCAGACAGAATCTGTAGCAGTTGCCCAATTAGCTTCTCTCTTCAAGCTGTTCAGTTAAGATTTGAAAATGAAAGATGATTGGTTGCCATAGGAAATTGCTCCAGTTTTGATCAACTCCCGTCAATGTATTTTTCTTGTATGTCAAGTCTGTAAATTATTTAAATGCCATTGTAGCTTCATATTGTAGCTTTATATTTACAAAAAGCCATGTCTGGCTGTGTCAAAGGAAATTCACTGATATGCAGGAATTTTATTATTTGATTTTTTTTCTTTTTGTCAGTATCACTAATGTGGATTCAATATTGAGCTGTAAAGCATTAGAAGAATCCTGTACAGAATATATTGTGGGTAATGCCAATACTAGCCTCCTTCTAAGAGCGCCAGATACCTGTCTGTCTAGCACGGGTACCTAATGAGTAACAGACCTGGATCAAGTATGCAGATTCGAGATTTATGGTGAAGGCAGAACTTCTGATTTGCATACTTGTTCCAAGTCAGTATATTCTTCACGCAGATTGTGCTCACTGGTACAAGTCAGCATACTGCTCATCCCTGCAGGCTCATAACATATCCGTAGGCAATAGGTAATTACTGAAACACAGAGGAAAGGAATAAGCACATGGGACTGCACATTCATCCTATTAATAAAACAATAAAAATCAATAAATTTCACTTACAAATGGCAAGTACCGCAGGATTCCTCAAACACTTAACAGGGATCACCACTATGATGTTGGCCATTGGAAGAAGAGTAGCACACCCTGTATGAAAGTGGAGACTGGCATGCAGAATACTAACATCCAGAAAATATCCAAATGGGTCAAGCAAGAAAAATACATCACTGACAGCTGGAAGCTGTATGTACCTCCTCTTACACATTTAGGGCAATGTAGCCCCTTCATTAGAAGGAATCACGTGATAATTCTGCCTGTTGATACACCTATGATTAAGTTTGCCATTTGCTAATGCTATTTATTGCTTTTTTCATTTAATTAAAAGGTGATTTATGTGCAAACCTTGAGAGCTTTTCTTTTTGCCTGTTGTTGTTCCAAGCCATTCAGAAAGTACCAAAGCCATTAAAACAGCATTTCAGTGAGGCAACCAGGATTTTCATAAGGAGAGGCCAGCAAAGGCAGCCTATGTTTTCTTTCTGTACAGGTGTTGATTTTAGGTGATTTATAAAAAGACCTTTTATTTTAAGGAAAATCTTCCCATAAGAATATATGTCAATTGAACATATGTAAGGCATGTTATTTACCTGTAAAAGGCTCTCTTGTGTAGACATTTAAAAAGCCTTAAGACTGCTGCTGGCCGCCAACATTGTGGATGTGATCTCTGCAGCCCCAGTAGACTCAGACTGGTCACTTAAGTGACACTCTATAGTATTCTCCTTCACTTCTCCCGTGGCTGCTACATAATAGGTTATGTGAGGAAGTGAGGGGAGGGGTAGAGGAGCTTGGCCAGCACAGACAGTACAGCACCTGAATGTGGCTTCCAGGCCTGCCTTTTTCTCTTTCAGTTTGAGTGCTGCTGTATCAGGGATTGCAGGAGGCTGATACCAAGTCAAATTCAGGTTCTTAAACTAGCTGCATTAAAAAATATACATTTATACATATATTTATATAGTCATGTAGAGCTGCATTTAATAATTTAATAAATGTCACTAAGGAAAGGAGAAAATTATATATATATATATAGTGAAGTGACATTGCAAACAGTATGTGGTATGTTCTTTTAACTTTGGCTAGGAAAACAGCCCTTGCGCAAGTAAGCCTTGAATATCACATGTACTAATGCTTAGTAATGGTTTTACGTGTCTGCTCTTTCCTAATACAGCTCTCTGTGTAAGCATCAGGACAGCAGTGTGCTATTTTTATGTTCAATTTTTATAAAAGATTGATTTACAGGGAAAGCCGCCAAGCAGAAATAACTTGTCCTCAGAAACACATTGTACACAAATACTAAGGGAAACATGTTAAAATAATAAAACTGTGCTTTAAATGTAGTTTAATAGTTTTAGAAATACACAAGGACAGAAAATACACTTCACTAATAGACCTACTACATTAAAGGAAACTTGAGAGGAATATGAAGCCTGCCATTACCGACCTCCTCTTGAAAAAGCTAGTTACCTGCTAGTTACGGACCTGAAACAAGCATGCAGTAAGCAACTTTTTTCGGAACTCTTAATCCGCATGTTTGTTTCAGCTCAGCCCCTGATATTGAAGTCATTGGATCAGCATGACAGAAAGTCAGCTAGCATTTTAAGAGAGAGGTAGACAATGGCTGCTTATGTGTTTCATTAGGTACAGGTTTCCTTTAGATAGACCCTGACCTCAGGTAGACCCCTGCAGCAAACACTTGTGATTTGGTTTCCTACAATATACCTGTTGTTTTTAGCTTGACCCCAGGCATTTCCTCTGGATGCAAAGGGAGCCTTGTCTGCTTCTGGGCTCTTCCACCTTGTTTCTGGCAGCAGCAGACCTATTGCCTCTGGAGCTGTCAATCTGAGCTGTCACATTGCACATTATCAGCTGCCAGGAGCGCAAACTCAGCAGCTATACATTGTAATGCTGACATGTGACTACTGAAGGGTACATGGTAGGATATGTTTACAAACAAAATACTGAGCCGCTTATGAAGTCTTGCCATGTGAAAGAACATATATAGCTTGCAAGGACATTCCCACTGGCAGCCTCATTGAAGGGCTCTTGCCAGGCTGGTGACATAGAAGCTGGGAAGGGGTGGGGGGCACAGCAGCAAAGCTCGAACGATAGAAGGACCTGACACTCCATGGAAGTGGAGCCCAATTAAACATTTAGTTTGAGTCAGCTTAATACTTTCCAATTGCATAAAAAGAAAAGGTTTGCAACGTTTTACAGGTTGTTTTATTTAAAAAGTACCCACAGCTTGAGTAGAAAAGCCTTTTTACTGCCAGGATGCTGTAGAAAATGACCCTTGCTCTCTTTGTGTAAGCAGTGGTCTCTCTGTAGAGGCCTGAAACCCCCTTGCTAAATTAGAACAAGAGCTCTCCTTACAACAAGGTCTATGCTCCTTGCTGAGTGGAGAGCTGTAGCTTTGACTCAGCAGCAGGGTGTGCCAGGCCTTTTCAGAGAGACCACTGCTTCCACACAGAGAACAAGGCCCCTTCTCTACACTATGCTGACAGGGGGCAGGCTTTTCTACTCTGGTCTTGGCTGCTTCCTAAAAAACTATGTACACTTTTTTGGTTTGATACCCCTGAAATGTATTGAACTGACTTAAACTGAAAATTCACCTGGACTTTAAGAAATGTACATTGCTTGTAAGGAGGCAATGTAAATATAAAGTACAAAAGTCTTGTCACCTGCCAGCATGCTGTGTAAAATGACCCTTCGACATAGAGGGTAAGCCCTCATTCACACTAGAAACGGCCGGCACGTATAGCTCCGTACTGTGTGCACGGCCGTACGCCGCCCTACACGTCCGTGCGGGTGTCCGTACTCGTACGCTGACAAGATGGACCCTGTCTGCGTCCGAGCCGGGACACCCGTACCCATACGGACCTGCATTTGGGGTGAGCGTAGGGCGGCGGACGGCAGCGTAGTCCCATAGAGAAGGACAGGGGCTGCATACTAATCACCCGCAGCACCTGTCCTTCCCGCGAGCTGCCCGATACGGCCATGCACGCAGCACAGAGCTGTACGCGCTGGCCATTTCTAGTGTGAATGAGGCCTAAGGGTCCTTCTCTACAGCATGCTGGCAGGGGGACAGGCTTTGCTATGGCTGCTTTTCGAAATAGGAACACTATTATGCACTAATGTTGCTTCGTTTAGAAATGTTCCACCTGGTGACAGGGCCTCTTTAAAAGAAATTTCCAATCAAGTCTGTTAGTAAGGTTTTTAGACAGTTGTTTAGTTATAGATCGTCTCTGCAGAAAGCTATCGTTCACGAGAGTTATTTCAGGTTTCAGCATGTGCTCATCCCAACCTGGAAAGCTTTACAAAGGAATGACGGAAAATCTACTCTGGATGAACAGTTACAATTTGTTACCATAGCTGACCTTTCGAAGACACTAGCAGCTGTATAAAGCAACTGTTCCTATCGTTTCAGTAGCACCTGTCAAAAGGCAATTGTCAGCGGTGTTTTTGAGTTGTGGCTGGTTACACTGAGGGGGGGCTGCTGTGTGCGGACAGGAAGAAACCCAACAGCAGCTGTTTCACAGTCTAACAAGAAGGGCTTTTTAATGCTGCCTGCATTGGCCATCGAACTAGTAATCCCCAAACACTTACAGGGCATTTATAATCTACTGAACAACTGCTGCCATTGAATCCCTTTAAGCACGTGCCACATAAAAGGCATATGTTTAAGACTTTCAAGCAGCAGAGGGCATGGTAACGGAATCAGCATGTCTGAACTGAAAGAAACCATAAAATTAAAAAAAAAGCACATCATGGGTTCATCTGGGTCAGTCATGAACCATTACCTCCCCACATCCCTCATTAGTAAGTACATACAATGTTCATAGGAATTCTTTACAAATGTAACAGACAGGTGACTGTAAAAGGCTTTTCTAGCTAATAAGCTTACCATGATGATTCCTATTTTGGTGCATTTAGGAGGGAAGAGAAAATAAATCTTGAAAATGTAGAACCTGGGCCTGTAATGTAGCATACTAGTAGCAACATCTGACTCCTCTTCCATGTTCCTACTCCAACTTTAAGATTATATTATTAAAGCAGTCCAACTTTAGTAGATATTAAATGGAAGCTATAATTGTTGTTAGTCCATTATATTTTATGTGAAGTTTACAGGTTTTTAAACTGATGTGGTCCATATTATATATTTATTATTTATTGCAAGGTATTTATAGAGCGCCAACAATTCACACAGCACTTTACATACTGCACATTACACATGTGCACGGAATAAAAATTTGTTTTGGACGAAACAAATGAAAACTAAAAATGAAACAAATTTTTATGCTGTTTTGGATTCGGAGGCAACGGGCCACCTTGGTATACACCAGGATGGCGGCGCCCAAACATGCGTGTGACGTCACTCGACGCTGCGCGTGTGATGTCATGCGCTCTACCTTCAAAATGGTAGTGTTCTGCAAACTAATTTATATATGCCCGAATATAGTTTTCGTATATTGAAGCATATACTACATTCGTTATTTCGGATTGAGACAAACCTCCGGATCAACTGAATTTCGTTGATTTACAGGTTCACCCGAACCTGAATGCACATGTCTACTACACATTCACATCAGTCCCTGCCCTCAGGGAGCTTACAATCCATAGTCCCTATTGCACACACATACAGGGCCAATTTAGACGGGAGCCAATTACCCTTCTAGCATGTCTTTGGCGTGTGGGAGGAAACTGGAGTACCCAGAGGAATCCCACACAAGCCCGGGGAGAACATGTAAACTCCTTGCAGATAGTGCCCTGACTGGGATTTGAACCGGGGATCCCCAGTGCTGCTATTATGCTGCACATTCTTAAAGCTTATGATACAGCATGCATCCCTAGTATGTAAAATACAGCACAGCATACAGAAAAGGTCTTGAGTGTGTAACTTAAAGCATAGCATACAGTGTGAAGCAGTTCTTAGTATGTAAGTATGTAATATACAGCAGATAGTATGTAATGTGAAGCATAGTACAGCAGAGTACAGCAAAGTGAAAAGTGCTAGTCATTGCAGTTGCAGTCACTGGAGAAGTTCACATCGCTGCAGTGGATGTCACTGGAGAATTGCACGGTGATCTAGTGGTATGGTGGTGGAAAGTTCTTGTGTCAAGCGAAGTATGTGGATATAGTGTTTGTCAATAAAATGTGAGCATGCAGTGTTTGTCAGTTATGAGGGCTAGGACAGACATACCACGTGCTGTGTTTCCATCAACCTTGCTGTTTGACTCCATATTGCTGAGGACACCAGACATTGTAGCTGTGTTCACTTTGAATACCCAATCATGTGCAGATGAAATAAATAGACTACAGTTTCCATTTCACATCATTGGATAATTGAAGTGAACACACTTTAACTTTACAGTTAACAGTTAATGCTTGACATAATTCTCTTCTTCTTTAGTAAATCAGACTCCATTTGTCTCTGCACCACTTCCACATCGCTGAAGACACAATATATCGTCTGCAATGTGGCAGCACACAACGAGGTTACTGGATAAATCGAACCATACATATCCACACCACATTCTTAAAGATCTTGGCTGCCTATTGCACAATAGTCACAAGTCCCTCTAATCCATGATTGCTTCACATTTCGTTTTGTCATTCAGTGCTAATAAAAATTACCTTTTTAGTTCAATCTGCAGCCAGATATGATTTTCTATAACTGACAAACAATATAAATGTAGGTACAGAAAATGTAGGATCACCAAACCAAATGTTGAGAGACCATGAAGGGTTTATTTCAGCATAAAACAGCAAAATGACAATCCAACATTTTGCGGGTGTTCTAAAGGGCCCCGTTCATCAAGACTTAAAAGCTGTGGTCAGAATCTGGATGGTCTCAAGCTTTAATAAATTGAGAATTAGAAACATTCAAATCTCAATATAAGAATATAATATAAGAATAAGCTGAGATAACAGCAACTGCTTTAAATTGGCTACATGAACAGTTATATTAAAGTTCAAGTAAAGCCCAAACTTTTTTTTAGTGTTGGATAGAATGGAGAGGGATTAGAACACATCTCGGGGAGATTAGGGAGATTGCCCTCTCTATAAACTCCTTGGTTGTCATCAGATTTTGCGTTGTCATCAAAACAGGAATAGATGGAAAATCTTCCAGTGGGGACGCTGCTGACTACTTCGGATTTCCCGTTGGAGGGATTTCTGCTTACTCCCTATCAGACAGGAAGCAAAGGGAAATCCCCACAATAGGACACAGATGGCAAAACAGTTGACAGGGATTATAACCTTTCCTTACTCTATTCCAAACTAAAAAAACGTTTTGCCTTCAGTTCTACTTTAAGTACTTGTATATAACTAGACAATCTAAGAGAGAATGATTTATAATACACTATAAGTAAATAAATACTGATTTTAACCCCTTCACGACCAGTGACATACATAGTATGTAATTGGCAGCAGGCCCGTTTAAACAGACTCCTGGTGGCCTGCTTTACAATAGAAGCGATTTTGGTGACTCAGCTGTTGCCAGATCGCTTCTACAGGCCGGTAAACTCAGTAAAATGTTGCGCTGATATCGTGCAGCATAAAAGTTTGCAACTGCCACCATTTTATTCTACAGGGTCTGGGCTTTCAGAAAATATATATAGTTTAGGGTTTGAAGTAATTTACAGGCCTTAAATTTGGATTATATCATGGGTGCAAAAAACGCGAAGAAAAAAAAGGCCTCAGTCATTAAGGGGTTAAACATGGCAGCTAAATTTGCTTTAGGGTTTACGTATGTTCTAAAATATTTGTGATGGCGTGAATATTTGTGAACATATGATGCAACAATCAACAAGGAAATGTGGTTAATTTACCTTTTACAGAGGTTTTTCCCATAGTCATACACTGCTGTGGAATTATGAGATCACGCGGCTGAGTCTGGCAGATACACATGTAGAAGTGAGCAGGTATCATGTTGATATGCATTTGAACAAACCACACAGCAGGAGTCCTGGATAAACAGCCATGTTTTCCGAGATACTTAAGAATGTGCTCTCCCCTTTCAGTGACAAGTGAAGTGCCTGAACATCAGCTGTTTCTTCTTGTAAATTCTATACATGAAAGCACATCAGGACAGTGTGCGGACAGGTGGCTTTAAGAGCGTGCCGAATAGAAAAAGCGTCTACATTTCCAGAAGGAGCACCTTAACAAAAGATCAGTGTCTGTGTGACAATCCACCTGTTCTCCAGAGATGACATCCGATATGTAGTGTTCTCTACCCCTCGCCATGTGTCTTTGCAGAGAGGAAAAAAGCATGTGTTACCTAGCCACATATGCTGACTGTACAGTGTTTGTATAACACGTAATTCATGTCTAAATAACAACCTCCCTGTAACACATCTCATTAGTACATGTAATATATGTACTATACTCTATCAGCAAATGTATACAAAATTCATTTGGAATCACTAAGATGTAGAACAAAAAGTTTTATAGTATCCCATATCCTGTAGTATTTATTAACCACTTAGTTTGAAAGTTTGACTGAAGATTACTCTGTCAAGCAACACTGTACCCAAATTTTTTTGATACAGTGCTTTCAATGTTTATAGCTTTTACTATATAAAGAGAAAAAAATAAAACTTTGCGGAAAAAAAACAGTTTTCCTTACTTTCTGTTATAAAACTTATCAAATGAAAATGTCAGGACAATACCAAAACCCCCAAAATGACCTCTTTATGGACACCCCAGTAGACACCCCAATTCGATCTGATTTTTTGCAAAAACATTTTTTTATGAAACATGCCAGTATTGAGGGGGTTAAAACATGGAGCTTGGTAATTTTTTTGTTTTTGTTTAAGTAAGCGGGGCATGTCCTGAAGACAATCTTCACACCAGTGAAGAAAAAAGGTGAATCATGAAATCACAACACAATAAAAAGAAAAGTGCACAAGGGTGCTTTCGGTCTTCCTTCGAAGAGGAAGAGCCATGAATCCCTGAACCACCCAGGAAGCAAGGCTCCTGACAGGGGCAAGGCCAACCCAAGTCCACCTAGCCGAAGCCAGGCGGACCCCGATCCTTAGGGACCTACCGAAGTAGGTCCTCTAAGTACTAGGTAGGGGCTCTCCCAAAGAGAGACCCCCAAGTTTGGGGAGGTAAAGATAACTCATAGTGGCCACAGAACCTGCCCCCTAACATCAGGATAGGCCAAGATAAAAATTGCTCTGAGCTAGCTAAAAGGCCGGCCCAAGAAGCGTAGTGCAGAAAAAAAAAGCTTTGAGTGCCGTGACCTAGTGATGGTGAATCACAGTGGGGTCCCACACCCATAGTGATTTTCCAACACCCCTGGGATGCTACCACCAGAGGGCACAGCACAGTGGGTCTCTGTGCTTCCAGCCCTCTGGCCAGACAAGGTCAACCCCATTCCCATTAGAAGGTACCGTATATACTCGAGTATAAGCCGTCCCGAATATAATCCGAGGCACACACAGGAGAAATTCCTGCCTACAACTTGCGACTATTACTCCAGACGATAATAGCCTGCCATCCCCAGCCTCCGAGGTTACTAGTCTGCAACCCTCCCAGTTCTGTGGCAACACTATTTTGCCTTCGGAAGCCCCAGGGTATACTAGACTGCCAGCTCCTTCTCCAGAGACAACAACGTTCTCCTCTGGAAACTGATAAGAACATATACTACACTTGATCTTAACCAAAAGGCCGAGCTTGGTAATGGTGCATTAGATTCAAAAATTGCATAGGTCATTCACAGAGGGAGGCAGAGGTGAAAGGGTTCATGTACAGATCACATACAGTGGGAAGATGGAGATGAAGAAGTAAATGTACAGATGTGCAGGATAAGGGAGATGAAGGGGTAATTTACAGTTTAGAGCAGAGATAGAATGGAACTGACATACACTATAGAGAAGAGGGGGTGGAAGGTCTAAAAAATGTAAGACTTTATTTTTTTGTGCTACTGCAGCTTGTTTTTCATCAGGAACTAATGAATGACTCATCCATTCATTAGTTCGCTTAGTCTCCCCTACCTCTGTTGTAATAGGAAGGGCAGGGCTTGGAAATGTAAAAATTGCTATGTGATCGCTGTGATAACCAATCACAGCAATCACAAGGCACAAAGCTGGAGGACGTTCTTGTCTGAAGCCTGAACACAGAAAACTAATGCAGCCACCTCATCTAAGGACTGGTAAGCTGCATTATTTTAAATGTTTGTTTTCAAGTTTAGATACACTTATTTGTATCTTAGGGTCACATTTATGGAGGGCACACTTCCCCCACCTCTGAGCAACCCTATACCAGATTATTTTCATCATAGTAATTCCTGTACCTAGAATGGGCATACATTTTCTATTGTTATATATAAGTTAGCAAAGCTGTATTTATCATAAATAGTGGTGGTCACTTTCATGTAAACAACAAAAGAGGGGAAACTGCTGGAGCTAGCATGTTGTGTATGTGAAAAAAATTTACTTTCACTTGGCTTTATGGATTTGATTTCTATTCTAATGAGCACACCATATGTATGGCTAGAAAATAGTATATATTGTACAATAAAGTAAAATTTGTAACGCGTTCCTAGTAACTGACATGCATAATCAATATATATTTTACAGTTATCCTCAAAAGAAGAACCTCAGCACAATAATGTAATATCAGGACCAAGTTTCCCTCCACCACCACCTCCGCCACCACCTCCAGGACCTCCTCCCAGTTCAGATATTTTCAATAAACCCAAAGATGACATGTCTCAGGATCGATCCGCACTCTTTGCCCAGCTCAACCAAGGAGAAACCATTACAAAAGGTAAACAAAGTTAAAAAAAAAGCATGTGTGTGAGCAGCAGGCACGCAATGGCTTGTGTTAGAACATAAATGACATGGCTGCTTTGTGCTAAATATTCTAAGTACAAAAATGAGAGGCACGTAGGAATATCACATTTGTAGGATAAAAAATTTTTGTACCTAAAACCTACATTAGACATACCAAATGCAGACCTTCATTTTTTTAAACAACAAAGAGGCGTTTTGATTTATGTTGAGAATCTCAACTGTAGGTGGCTTTATAATGAAACTTCCCAGATTCCCAAAGACTAGAGCTGACCATACACCAGTAGAGTTTTGTTTGAAAATGTGTATGAAAATGATTGTTTTTAGAACATTCATTTGATCTTCTAATGGCAGTTTTTGTCCGTAGTGATGAGGAAAATAAAAATTTAGTTTTGTTTAATTCTCTTAATTAAACTAAATTCTAATCATGAATGTGATTTTCTTTAGGGAAACAAATTGTACATATTGTAATTTGCATGGGTTAGGCTCAAAAGAAATCTGTGATGACAAGATCGAATGCTATGCTGAACAATTTCATAACACAATACTTGTAACACAATGCATGTATATGTTGTAACATTCTACAGGGCTTAAACATATTTCCGATAACCAGAAGACCCACAAGAACCCTAAACTTCGTGGGCAAGCTGTATCAGCCCGATCCCCAACACAGAGTTCAAGCTCTAGCTCTCCAAAGGCACCACCCCAGTCTTATTCTCCTCTGCTAGAGCTAGAGGGAAAGAAATGGAGAGTGGTAAGTTATTATATCTGGTTACAAACCTAAAGACTTGTTTACCTAGCTTCAAGCTGTTATTGAACATTTAGAAATGGGTGTTATGCAGTACAAAGAATAAGACAGAAGTGAATAGAGGAAGATGGAAAGCAACCTAGCATATTTAATCATATAAAGATAGCCATACAACGGGTTGAATTTCGGCTGATTCCTGCTGGATCGGTTGAAATTGAAGCTATGGGTGGTCCTATCAGCACCACCCATTTAACAAGAGTCGGGTGGAAGATTCTCAGCCAAATGATGACTGCATCCTATCAGATGCAGTCACTGTATGGGTGTTCAAGAAGCCACGGGCAGCGGCAGGGTAGATTCACTTTGGTTGCAGCCTTAGGCAAGCCATACATGCTTTGTTTTCTCTCATTCACCCGAAGTAATTTGATTCAACCATCCACATTAATCAGTGGGCTGAATGAGAGAAGACGAAGCATGTATAGGTAGCCTTATGTTCCCATAGATGTACAGGTTTGGGAGGCAGTGGGACAGTTTATATGCATGTCACCTTGTTGGATTGAGAATGTATGACCTATAGCTCATTGTTCAGTTTCGTAAAGTGGTAAGTCAGCCATCCCGTTGGCTGAAACGCAGGCATTTAGAAAAAGATCATTCATCTCATTTTATGCAATAGGACAAACTAAACTACTTTTCGCTATCAAGCCAATGCTTACTGACCATCTGACATCTACCTTTAGACCAAGCAGACTATGGGGAATTTCTGGGAGTCTGGTGTATGGTGGGTGGTAGACGGTAGAGTATTTTTATTTATTTTCTTTTTTTTTTATAGCTTAGACAGTTTTGTTACAATTTAGCATAAAATTATAACAAGTTTCTATTAGAAGTTTGTGGCTAAATACAAAAAGTATTTTAAACAAACATCCTCCCAGGAAATGAATGATGCATTGCAGTTAACTATGGGAAAAGATAAGACACTGAAAGCCTACATTAAGAAAAGAGGGTTAGTGCTATCATATTATAAGTTTCTGACACAAGTCAAGCATGTGTGTAATGATTGCTCAGTGTGTGGTGCTGTATGGTTTGGGGTTATTAGGTAATGACCCTAAGCTCTTAGCTTTAAGTGCTACAGGTGCAGATAATGCAGAAGTCCTTATTTGGTAAAGTTTTTTGTCTTAGATTAGTGAAGACTTTTCTTACAACAGTTTGTGTTCAGCTGTGAACATTGCCCTGATATCATTCTAATTTTAGGAGTACCAAGAAGGAGAGAACAAGTTAGTGATTTCTGAGACTGAGCTCAAACAAGTGGTTTACATTTACAAGTGCAAGAAGACAACATTGCAAATCAAAGGAAAAATCAATTCCATAATAATAGGTAAGAGAAGTCAACAGTAATAAAAAGATCCTACACTTGCTGATCAAGTATGTACTATTTCACCTAAGTGCTACTTATTTGAAATTAAAATTGACCAGATAAAGAGATTATTTACAAAGCCAAACAGTAAAGTATGACATGCTTCATTTGCATGTTATGACAAACAGCACTGGAGCTTCAGATTTCAGCCAACGCTTTTTTTTCAAATCATTATGTACTTACCACTTCAAGTGCTTATATCGGCATGGTTTTTACAAGGGATGAGCTCAAGTTCAGTTTCGAACTTAAAGTGACACTATACTCAGGAGTTAAATCTTAAAAATGCACTTAAGTACCTTAACTATTAACAAAAATTTAGCTTATTTGTGTATCACACAGTTAATGTATATTTAAAGTGACACTAAACTCAGCTATAAATCCTGCATATCATCTCTGAATTCATACTGACACTCTCCTTCCTTCTGGAGGGTGGCTACATTTGTTCTCCATGGTGTCTGTCCCATGGTCCCATTTTTGTTAATAGTTAAGGTACTTTAATGCATTTTTAATATTTAATTCCTGAGTTTAGTGTCACTTTAAGTTTGTACGAACCTGAAAGGAAGCTGTCAGTGCTGGCCCACTGCTGCGACCAGGGCAGCAATTACTTTATATGGCCATATTGGGACAATCGCATTGACCCAATGTGGCCATATAAGGTCAATGATGTCACCAGCATCCCACGTGCTCTGTGTACATGCAGCTGTGGGGTGGGAAATGGCCTGGCTGCAGCTGATTGGGTTGGCACTGACTTCTTCCTTCCAGATTCAGATGAACTCAAATTGACTGCAAACTTGAGTTCCACCCTAGTTTGTACACATTTCCTTAGCTTTTGCCATTTTTAATGCAGTATAATAAAAGTTGCAATACAAATAGCTAAAATGTGTTGTTGCACAGCTACACTATTCAAAATCATAATAGAACCAGTAAGGTCATTCATCCATTTGTCATGTTCATGTCATCCACTCATGAAAATGATGTCTACGTTGAAGTCCTGCCAAACGGTAATTTTTGTTGTTGTTTTGGATAGCGTAGGTAAGGTAACTCAGTCAGTTATTGTGTTTCTGACTTTGTCAATGTCTGGGAGCTTTCCCCTCATCTCCTATTCCATTGTCCCCATTACAGTAAGTAAAGGTAAATCCAATCAAAAATGGCCAGTCTCTGTGACCGCTGGTTTCCTCTCATCTAGGGGAGATATAGTCCTATATTCTGTCATGTGTCCAAAACATAAAGTGAGAGTATATTTTGTCAAGGGGTATAGAGACAGAAATAAAACCAAGGTCCTAACTTTTTTTTTCTAAAACATAAAAATATAAATTGGCTGCTAAATGCTGGTAAAGCTATCATCTCTTCGTTCTTAGTTCTATAATAATCCACGAGCATGCTATGAAGTAAACTGATTTTTTATCCCTATCCTGGGAAATATTGGCTTTTCAATTTATGAATATATTAAAGTGGAACTAAATAGCAACTGTGACAGTTTTTACCAGAGGCGTGCCTTGAATGTAACATACACTGCGCATGTGTTTGTAGGCAGGATGTAAATAAAACACTATAGAGGACAATATTGGTATCTTTGATTAAGGATTTAATAACTTTTATTTAAAATTTAAAACTTTAGCTTCCTATTAGGAAACAGTTAAATTGGTTGGTGTAGTTCCACTTTCATGATGTTTCTAAATGAACAAGTAGCCTACATTTTCCACTGTTCATAGAGAAATCTTACCTAAAATGAGTTGTTGTTCATAAATTAATCTTACCTGAAATGATTTCCTATCTAATGTTGAATAACATGTTATTTTTTATTCTTTACTGTTTTCAGACAATTGCACAAAACTTGGCCTAGTGTTTGATGATGTTGTCGGCATTGTAGAAGTCATTAACTCTAAAGATGTTCAGATACAGGTAAGCAAAGTACATTTTTTGGTAGACCAATTAGTGTGGGCAAGTGGCTCAAGTTTTGGCCAATTTAGCAGAATGTGGCCGAAATTTGGGCCATCCATGGCAAGCATAAGAGTTTTTCGTTTTGGAAGTAAATGGCATATCAAGAATTATCCTAAAAAATCTTTTTTTTAAAACTTATAAACAAAAATGAAAACAGTAAGGTTTTCATGGATTAGTATTTCATAATAACTCATGATGTCAGGTGATTAGTAAATACTGATGAGGGGTCCATTTATCTGGAGAGCAGATATTGCTATCTGCTCTCTGTTACAGTCTGCCATTTATATCCACACCTTTTCCTGCATTTTTCGGCCTAGGCCTATTTATAAAAATGCTGCCTGTGGTGCCCCACAGAGTTCCCTCTGCTTAATGCAGCAGAGAGACATCAAATCTTTGAAGCACATTGCTTTGCTTTATAAATGTACGGTATTTGTTTTTGGTTTTTTTTAAAGCAAAAAGGTTGCTAATCTGATGTTTTGCAGCTAGACATAAACATTTTATCAGGCAGTGAAATGGTCCCCAATTACCACTCATTAGGGCTACCATAGAGTACCAAAAGCTGTGAATGATTGGGCTGTAATATCATAGATAGTTATGTGTTTAATATATAGCTATGATTTCTGAAATGCAATGCAAATTGGTGGCTGTTTCATGGCAAATCACAGTAAATGGTGCAACTTTCTTTTTGTGTACAGGTCATAGGGAAGGTGCCAACAATTTCAATTAACAAGACAGATGGCTGTCATGTTTACCTGAGTGAAAGCTCAATTGACTGTGAGATTGTAAGTGCCAAATCTTCGGAAATGAACATCCTTATTCCGGACCATGGAGATTATGTAAGAGAAAACTGTGTCTATTTTTACTGATAACTGTATAAATAATGACATTTCAATTTGTTTTGTCTGTTAGTGTTTTATCATTGTCCCATCATAGATAAAATATTGTATAGTCTCTTATTTGATACCAGAGGTATGTATTTTTGAAAATAATAGAAGAAAATTCTGGATTTGTGACCATCAGGCATTTGTAAACAAAGGAGTGCAAAGAAGAATACTGATGTGCTAAGCGCATAATCCCATACCAAATGATCAGATATCAAATCTGACTATTGAAACTAAAATCAGATTGTGTCCCAAAGGATTAATGTCATTTGGACTTTCTCGTTTTCTTTTTAGCGGCTTTACTATGTGTACCCAAAGTGACCTTACTTTTAAACTTTGTATTGCTTGTCTATAAGATACTAGTTGACAGAACCATCAAATGCAACACATTTACTATGCAATGGGTTTTCTGCCCCTGCTATGAAATCCAACCGGGAACTTTTACTTGTTTGTTTATGGCACTTGAATGGCACAATGGTCGTCCACATAATTTTAATTTTTAAACACAGAAGATGAACTCTGAGTGAGAAGCTAAATACTCACAGGCAAATACTGTGAACTATTTTAACTTCCAAAGAATTTGTAGTTGTGTTCAGCAAGTCTTGTGATCCAGGCACCTTGCCTACCTACTGCTAGCCCTTGCCATTCATCTAAAAAATACTCTTTCAATTAATTCAACATAAATGATCCAGCACATATATTTTTTTCAAAGTCACCATTGTTTTATCTCCCCATCACCCTACAGCTACTATTAAGTACATTTTAAAACTAAACTGCATCTGAAATTTGTAATGTGTTAGGCAACAATGAAAACAGAGAAATTGGGCATATAATGTTACAATTTATTGTCGTATTCAGTAGATTTGAAATACAAGGTTTTTAAAAAAATTAGCTTTCTTTGTCATAAATTTGTTTTTTTTTGTAAGCTAGCATTTATGATCTATTGTCATTGGAGATTATGTTGTTACCATGGGTTGAAGGAGCATCCAGTGGGTTAGAAATTTGCAGTCCCAGTGAATTAAGGTGGAGACTCGCCAGACCGAATTCTTTGTAACCATATTGCACTGCCTGACCTTTCAACTTTGATCAGTAGGGTTACAAAGTGATGTGCTAGCCCCCTTGCACTAAAAGGGTGGTTAAGGGTTAGTGTGGTGGGCTACATATTCCTGTGTGCCCCTTCCCCCTTGTTCACAGTTCTGAGAATCAACAGTCCTGTAACTGTTATTTAGCTGCTGGGTCCCAATTTTCTTTTATTTCATATTCATCTATTTTTTGCTAGGTTAAAAAAAATTGCAGTATACTTTGAATACATGCATTGGTGCTATGCGGTACCATTCATAATGAAAATACTAAATGCACAAATTTTGGTCCATTGTGGTGCATTGGATCACCCATTCAAATTAATAGGCTGCCCTAAAGCAACACACAATAATGTGCAACACAATGTGCTTTAACGCACTGCAGTGCACCAAGCTGGTGTGAATGGGCCCTTAGTGTTTCAAGGTCTATTATTTTGGAAGATAAATATTTTATTTTGCTAGAGCCTTTTTTTATTTAGGGGTCTGCATACACTTTTTGCTGCTCTTTGTTGGCGCATGCTACTGCAATCTTGTGCGGTAAAATAGTGTGCACCAAAGCACCACATATTTATTCTCCCTATTGCCATAGCTGCTATTAAATGCAGACCCACTTTAACCACTTCAAGACCAGGTGTTTAGACCCCCTTCCTGGCCAGGCCATTTTTCAGTATTCAGCGCTGCGATACTTTGACTGAAGTTTATTCCGTCATGCAACGCTGTACTGAAATGAATTTTATACCATTTTTTGGGAACAGATAGAGCTTTATTTTGGTGGTATTTAATCACCACTGGGGTTTTTATTTTTTACTATAATTAGGAAAAATTAAAGGAAATTTTTTTTAAAATACGTGTTTTTTTTACATTATGTTAGGAAACATTTATTATTACCCAGTTTTTTGGTAAAATATAAAAGTCAGGGTCACATCGGATAAATAGACAAAAATATGAGGCAGGCCTAAAGTAAGAGGCAGAGATAGCAGATTCTGCAAGACATAGTGGGGTTCAGAACAAAAAGAGGCAGTGATGTTCCAGCAGCTGGAGCTTACTGCACGCATCCTGGTGGTGCTGCAGTTCATTATAAAGTACTCTGGCTTCCAAGAGGTCCTTCGTCAGGCCAGAAGGATTTGTGTCCACTTTAGATGGTCATTCCCAGCCATGGCTCACCTAGTAATAATACAGCAATACATAGCAATAGTACAGCACCAACACGAGTTACCTGACTCCCCCACGCGCTGGAACTCATCATTGAGTCTGTACCAGCAGTCTTACCCCAGTACAAGGGTAAAATTAGCAATCTATGGCCGTTATCCCTTTACCTCAGCTGGCAAATTTATATTGTCCGCTGCAGGGTAATTTCTCAAAGTTTGAGGTCACATACTGTCCAGCCATGGTACAGTGGCTATTGTTTTTCAAATAATACATTCTAATATCTGTTTCAAAATAAAACCTACCTTGTTTCTCCTTCTTATATTACGGCCTAACCAAGATATTTACATACTGTTTAGCTACTAAGCAATATGTGTGGCTTTTGCTTCTCAGATAATACACTGTAATTTCTATTGCAATAAAAAACCTGTCTCATCTCTCCTTCTTACTGTATGGCCTTACCAAGATATTAACATACTGTCCATCAATTAAATAATATTTGTGGCTTTGGTCTCTTGGATAATAATCTCTCATTTGTATTGCAAGCTAAAACCTACCTTCTCTCTCCCCATATATTGTGGCCTAACCAGCAACTTATGTACTGTCCAGCCACTGTACAATATTTATGGCTATTGTTTATCAAATAATGCACTCTGTCTATTTCAAGATATAACCTACCTTGTCTCTCCCTCTTACATTGTGACCTTACCAAGCTGCTTACATACTGTCCAACCACTGTGCAATATTTGTAGCTATTGTCTTTTAGATAATACGGTATCATTTTATTGAAAGCTAAAACCTGTCATACTTTTCCTTCTTATATTGCGGCCTAACCGAGCTGTTCACATACTGTCTAGCCACTGAACAATATTTGTGGCTATTGTTTCTCAAATAAAACACTCTAATTTGTATTTCAAGATAAAAAATAAAAAGTCCAGAGCACAAAAAAGGACAGTCTAACTTGGAGTCATGGAATGTAGAAGTTTAACATAAATGCAATAGGTATAGGAATCCAGCAGGGTCACCAAAACAATCTTGAAGCTCTTAATAAAAGGTGGCCTGGAACGCACCCACCAAAAATCTAAAGGGAAAACAACAGGGTATAGAGAGCAATAATAGTGTAGTAATCACTTTTAAAATAACAGTATAGAATGCACTCACAAGGAGGGAATATAAAGAAAGTTTATCTGTGCCCCAAAAATCTCTTTTAAAAACTTGAAAATGAATCAGATTGGGATGCTGCTGCTGCTGTAATAAACTGAAAATAAATGTAAAAGTTAAAAGATCAGTTACAGATACCAAATATATGATGCCAGAATATGGTATCACTGACAACATTTGTAAAAATTGTACTATTCTGTAAAACCACATACAACTTATAGGCATCTCCCAAACATTTAATTTAAAGGATTGGAATTTTTTTGCATGTCACCCTCAAAGTTGCATTAAAAGGACCCTCTTCCGGCTGTACAGTGATTTTCTAAATTTTTTTGCTCTGTTAAATGTCCCCTAAATGTGTTCAGCTCTTTTTTTGACAACAGCTGGCCTATTAGCCTTGAAAATGAATGTAGTATTCACCCCCCCTATAAACTTTAATGGGATTTACTGTTTCAAGTTTGGGTTTCACATATTTTAAACGGGATTCGACAAACCCCTCACTAATTGAATCCAAGCATATTCAGCAAAAATGTAATACTAAATGTAGAAATGTAGAAACAGCAAACTTTTTCAGAACTGCTATGTGTTAGAATTGTAAAATGTGCATAGAATTTACATAGTATGATTAGTGTTTTATATGTAGCAGTTACAACAAGAAAGCTCCCACTGAAAAAGTCAGAGGTGGCTGTACTGTGTGTGAACTCATGATTTTTATCTCTGCTTTGTAATAACAACTTCCTGGGAGTTTCAATGGGCAGAAGTTCATAATCCGGACTTGTCTGATTTCTAAAGACCTAGCCATTCATGCAATTTGAATCTCATTCTCTCTGGTTTATATATTGTAACCCAAAGTTTATATAATCTTCTCTGTTGGTTTTGTTTCCCTGTAGAGAGAATTTCCTGTTCCTGAACAGTTCAAGACATCATGGGATGGCTCAAAGTTGGTCACTGAACCTGCAGAGATGATGGGCTAATTTGTTACTGTCATTTTGTAAATGCATTCGACCCATTATATATGTTTTTAAAGCTGCATTTCACTTGGGGTATGCTGCATGCAGCCTTAGTGTGCAGTATACATAAACAATATATAATAATCTAATGAGCATTTCCATCTGATTCTCCCGGAAGCAATTTATAGTGAACTTGCTGAGAACATTTATAGATTTAATAGTGATACCTAGCTAACGTTTCAAATGATAGAGCAGGTTGTTTAACTCTACCCATTTAAATATCATCCTCGGTACATTAAAAAATTCTTCCGTGGCAAGCTTTAGCCAGCTGTTTAATTAATTCTTTAATTATCAAGTTTGTTTAATTTGCAGTTTTACGTTTCTCTTTATGATGACTGTAGACAAAATTTTGTTTTTGAGCTGATATGACCAAGATTTAGCGGTATCCTTAAATTGTCCGTGTATGTATAAATGGATAGACAAAAAATTTGCCTGCACAATCAAATGATTCTGTAAAATGCAATACCGTCATTGGAGTATTGGGTTATATCAGAAAAAACACTTCTTTTTATATGTCTGGCATTGATTTTACTTACAAGGTAATATTTTTACATGAAAAAAATGTGTTGATTTATTTTGTGGTACTTGGACTTACGGCCGGTGCGCACCTGGGCAATCGTGCACGATACCTGGTTATGCACAAAGTCGCCCATCATCGACGATCACACTGTGGGTGCCAATATTTTCTAATGGCAGCCCAGTTGCGTCGATCGGATGGAGCGGTTTCCCGCCGCGATTCCACCTGTGCATCTGAACACGATCATGGCTAAAACAGCCGTGCGTCGTATATCGCGGAAAAAAAAGTTGCATGTACCTTTTCTTCTGCAATTGCCACGCGGATGTACCCTATTGGAATCAATGGGGCTGCGCTGCAATCGCTGTCTGCAATTATGCATGACTGCGCGATCCCAGGATCGCCCAGATCTGCACTGGGCCTAAAACATTGTGCATAACCAGCAATTATTGCTTTAGCTACGTAATAAACAAAAAACCCATTCATAAGCACATAAACATGATTGAAATGTGTGGTGTTGATAAAGGATCACCAGGCAGCAAACCAATGCTCGCTTTAGATCTTCAGAGCTCAGCTAGCGGTGAGAGTAAAAATGATCACATGCACTGTATGATATATTCGTGAGCAAAACGTTATTCTCGCTACATATATTGTTGTGAAGTATCTTTTCCAGCTTAGTAAAAATGAACAAACATAAATAAAACATTGTTTTCGAACAATAGCATCCTTCAAAAGAACATTGCAGTGCATTGAAAAATATTCTGTATCCTGAATATTTTTTGAATTGTCCTACACTCAAGTCAGTTGAATTGGGCCCTTCAAAAACATAGCCCAGTTGAAAGAACATGGCAGAGCATTCACTTTAAAATGCTACTGCCTGTGGTGGTTGGAACACGCTCTAATTGTATATCATTGCAGCATTTAATGATTGTGCAGTCAAACACTGGATACAGCTGTGCCTATCATAGGATTAAAGAAAAATGTTAATGCAATCTTTCTTTTCCTGATAAGAGGATTACATTTAACACACCTATCTTTCCAATAACATGTAGGGATTCAATAATGCTTGTAAGGTTGGTTCAGTGGTCTGAGTTTTGGGAATTAAAGTATCACTATTTATATAGTACATATATGCTATATAAATATATGTTATATATTTATAAAGTACATATTTACTAGATATATAGTACATATACACTTATTAATGTTTAAATTTGAAATATTCCCAGTTGTTTGTAACATTTTACAGTTCTAACCTTATGTATTAGTTGTTACCATTTATTTTTTACATTTACCATTTATATGTTAAATGTCCAAACCATTTACCAAATAACCATTTATTTGTACATTTTCTTTGCCTTCTGAATAAAATATAGAAGGGTTTGGCTTACTAAAATCAACCAAGTTCTTCTGTATGTTAGATAGTTTTCCTGTTACTAACTACCCATGGGGTAAGCATTAGCCACTCGTATAGATGCAAAGTATAGTTTGCATCTATACGAGTGGCTAATGCTTACCCCATGGCATAACAGTCATAACAATGTCACATATACCATATATATTCTACCTGCTATGGTATTGTATGTACACGTTCACATTTACTGCATAATGGAAATATTGTGGAGAATATCTTTAGTAGCAGTTAATTAAACATTCACATCTTAATACCCCAGATATGTTATGACTAATAAAAATGTAGTAATATAAAAATAATGAAAATATTATTGGTCTGCTTCCAGCTATTTTAAAATTCATTTTTAATTAAACTGTGTTAGGCGGTAATATTTTAGAATGCACGTAAGTCACTACAGATCAGTTATAGCAGCTTGCTCACCTCACTTCATGTTGTATTTGCTCTATGTACTGAAAAGTTAGTTGACTCTTCTTGTAGAACAATGAGCTCTATATTTGAATGGGGCCATATAAAATCTACCTAAGGTCTATTATTTTGATATTTAGCCCCTGCATGGGGAGAATTGGATTCCCACATCTGGACAACACAGTTATAAATGGTTGTCTGTGTCTGCAGTTCTTATATCAGCACCTATTTTGTATTCATTGATTGGGCTGTTAGCCCAATAAGTATGACCAATTAAGCAGAAACTAGGCAAAACAGGTATGAAGAAAGGGGAAAGAAGCATTAGTTAGAGAAAGGTTTAAAGAGACCCTGTCACCAATGTAAAATAAATTGCAGGTGAGAGCACAGGAAAATCAAACATTTAAAATGCTTACTTGCAGTGTTTTCCTTTCCATAATTTTTTTATTAACTTGCATTGTGCCTATGAACCTGATAGAAAATTTGACCACCCCAGGAGAGTCAATTCCCTAGAACAGACCTCTCCTCTTCTGGGAGTTAATAATTACTCTCTGTGCTGGCCAAGCTCCTCTACCCCTCCCCTCCCCATTTATGTACCTGCCAGTGGAGGAGCGAAGGGGACAGCTATGGATCTGCTGGGGCTGACCACATCCAAGATGGTGGTGCCCAGCAGCAGTCTCAGGGCTGTTGGAGGTTTACAGGGAAGGCTTTGTTAAAATCAATAGTCTAGAGACACAGTAGAAACATACTATGGTCAAGGCTTGGATTTCCTGATGTGCTACTTGGCAGTAGGATTCACAAGCAGGTAAGTTGTGGTAAAATGCTGTAAAAATTCAGTAGTTAATTCCTGTGGTGGTCGTGGTGCTAATCGGTTAACTTCTGCTGAGTGTAGAGTACTCAATATTTTGTGGATCATTCAGTCTCAATGCAGAGATTTATGCATAGAGTTTTGTGTCTGTCCTGACTTGAGGCTCATGACAGGGCCTCTATCTCAGCACACATTTACATGATTGTATTAAATTTACATCTTCATTGTGCTGCTCCCTTACTGTGGATTTGATTTATATTTTAATGCAGGTTATATTGGCTGTGTTACCATGTGTCATAGACAATCTATAGAGGTTCTGTACAGGGTATTAAGTATGTGTGCGGCGAATACATGCCACAGTGGCCACCATAAACTGCGGCTGTCATGTATTGCGTCCTGCCTCAATATGCAATAAAAATAAATCACTATAAATAAAGCATCAAACAGTTCTTATCACATGCATAGTTATAACTCCCCCTAAAAAAAAACCTTTTCATCAACATCTACTCTGAGTATGCCCCCTTATTTTGCATACTGACCATAGTGACCACGGCACACCCCAGGTCTATGTAGGCAGGTTCGTGATCTCTCTTTTCAGATTCGTATTCAGTGGGGCTCTGACTACAAATATATATATATACACACACACATCAGACCACCTTTAAATACATCATATCAATTCTATGCATTATAGCAACCATAAAAAGTAGCAAACTACCAGTACTATAGATTTTTTGTATTGGCTGAGATTCCTGTACTGTATAAAATGTACATCTCCAGCAGCTGTTTAATACTTTGTAAGAATGCAATTGATCTGGCAGCCCTGGAGCCAGTTCCTCCCATTGCAGACTGTATATTGGATGCATTATAAATAAACTGATCATGTATAGATAAGCAGGGCATACCACCATAAATACTGTGTATTCAGCATTATAGGTACTTCCTGAACAGATTGCCAGAGCTTTGCAGTGTGTGGACCCTAACATCCCCGCAGTTAAAAAAAATCAATGGATTTCTACACGCTAAATGATAGTTTAATACTGGCAGCACCAGGCCGACCAAAGTAAATACAAGTGTTCTTGTAGGACATTGCAGCCTTAGTTACTAAATGCAGTCTTAGGTAATAAAATGATACGCTGTAAACCATAGCTAGCTTTTTAGTACAATCATACTAATATGAGCCTATCTCTGACTGTTCTTATACATTTAATATAAAGCATTGTTCTTACTACTTTGTTTTAAATAAGTACATTGGAGATGTTATCTCACATTACAGTGTTTATTTAAATAGCAAACACAATGTAAAGTGCAGTCATTTCTCACAACCAATCAGTATTAATCCTTTTTTTTTCCTGTTATACTAGAAGTTACATTATTTATGATTGTTAAATAATCCACATTATTTATTTAAATAGGCCTGAAGCTTCAGCCCTAGGTCTTTTCCATTATTCTCCACCAAGACCAGGGGCCTGACATGCTATAGTGTGAACTGCAGTGAGCACGAATGGACATTTAGAAAAATAGAACTTCTGTGGACCATGATTGGATGTATAAAGCTGTCCTCTTACTTCCTGTCTAGTAACCGGTGTTAAACATGTGAATTTCGGACGGTTCTCCATAAAACGGCTGAAATTCGCACAGTGGGTGCCGTTATCGGCACCCTTCTGGCCAGCATCCCCCTGATTGAAGGAGCCAGTTGGAAAATCTTCAAACGAACGGTGCTTGCAGAATGCAAGGGAAACAGCTGGGGATTCCACCATCAACGCTCGTAATTGTTGATGGAGGAATCTGTTCTATTTTTTTCGTTGAACAAAAAAAAAATAGAACAGTGTATGGCCAGCTTTAGGCAGAACAGGAAATTAAGGGAAAGTTCACCAGTTGAGATACAGAAAGCTGTGATTTTTTTCTGCAATGGAAAATCATTAGAACCTCAGACAAGTTTTTAATGCTGTTTGTGTCCCCTTTGGAGAAATTATAGAACTGAGACCCACCACACACGTAATCGGTTAATCCCCTGGTCTTCTTGTTGGGTGCTGTGG